GTACCGTTGGGTGCTCATCTCCTATAATATGGAGGTACCCTTGGGTCCTCATGTCCTACTATTTGGAAGTACCGTTGGGTGCTCATCTCCTATAATATGGAGGTACCCTTGGGTCCTCATTCCCCACTATTTGGAGGTACCGTTGGGTGCTCATCTCCTATAATATGGAGGTACCCTTGGGTCCTCATGTCCTACTATTTGGAAGTACCGTTGGGTGCTCATCTCCTATAATATGGAGGTACCCTTGGGTCCTCATGTCTTACTATTTGGAGGTACCCTTGGGTCCTCATCTCCTACTATTTGGAGGTACCGTTGGGTGCTCATGTCTTACTATTTGGAGGTACCCTTAGGTCCTCATCTCCTACTATTTGGAGGTACCGTTGGGTGCTCATCTCAAGGGATGCAACGGTGACAAAAACCGTAGGTACGGTTACCGGTCCAACTAAGATAACAATAAATACCGTTAGCAGTCCAAGCCCGTTTTCACCAAGACAAGAGTTTTTGAAGAAAATAAGGATTCCTTATAAAGGTTGACGAAAGTAAACCGGGGTCGAAGAATTCGAATCTGTAGTTAGTCTTTCAATCTGAGTTTTCATTGGCAAGAAAATCGACCAATCAGAAACGAGCTTTTTTATATTAAGACTTTCCGATCTTTTGATAAAACTTTCCAATAGGTTATCGATACCGAGGAATTCGAATCTGAGACCCTTTTTCAATCTGAGCTCTCATTGGTCAGAAAATGGACCAATCAAAAATGAGCTTTTTCAAAGTAAAGCTTTTCAATCTTTTGATAGAACTTTCCAATAGGTTATCGATACCGAGGAATTCGAATCTGAAACCCTTTTTACAATCTGAGCTCTCGTTGGCCAGAAAATAGACCAATCGGAAATGAACTTCTTTATATTAAGGCTTTTCCATCTTTTGATAAAAATTTGCAATAGGTTATCGATATGCAGGTATCCGAATCCAAAGTCCTTTCTTTCGATGGGAGCTTTCATTAGTCAGAAAATGAACCAATCCGAAACCCGCTTTTTTCCCTCGGCTGAAGGGGCGTAATACGAAACAAATAAAGCTTAACAGACTGATAGCGAACACCAAAAATATTTTATTGGGTGAACTGCCTGCCTGAAGGAACTTCATATATATTACATGTTATTG